AAAAACTATGAAAAGGCAAACAACAGTATACAAAACACAACATAGAAACATAAGACTTAACAACACGGACCCCACCAAAACCTGGGGGTGATCTCAGGTGCTTCGGAAGGGTAAGCAAATTCTACTCAACGTGTGCAAACCCAGTGATAAGTCTAATTCGGTAGATCACATTAGAGGAAAAGAAGACGGGATTGTGCTAATATCAACATTTGGAACATATCCGTCGTCATTAACCTACTCGTTATGTCGAACGTAAAATTTCCGAAGGGATGGTTTCAACTTCACCAATTGGAACTCTTGGTTCAGTAGCTTCCTTGTAAGCATCCACTATCTATCAAGGAAATGATGATAAGCTATGGAATATCTTATCAACTGGCATGTATATACTCCATATGTAGGTGCTGCTAGCTGGAATGTTGCTACATAGAACAGAAAAGTTCACAATAGGAGGCTGAAATCATCTCCTTTGTCGTAAAGTTTTGTTCTTAACCGACCACGTATGTTGCTATTAATGAGTTTTTAATGACAGATATTGGTATCTCTTTCTCAATAACGCGTGAACATCCGGGAGGTTTCGCCCCCAACCAGGAGGTCTTCTGTTCTGGACCTCAAACCCTTCGATGAGGTTCGGGCGTACACTTAAAAATGGCCTAGCTACGCCACTGGTCTACCACATTTCCTTTTCTTCTCATGCATGTGTCTGTACAACTTTTCAAGCTCTATTTTGTGTCTATACAAGATCATACAATATGATAAGCTTTATGTATATCTATTTGATTGCTGGAAGTAAAACAACCTAGCATGGAATGTAGATCCGAGAGAACAACCTTTACCTGGTAAGTCTTATGCTCCTCTCAACTCCCTTTGATGGAACGTGGTACCTTTACCTGGAAAGTCTTATGCTCCTCTTAATTCCCTAGGATGGAACAGGAATCCTTTACCTGGAAAGTCTTGAAATAAATTTTGATAATCAATTATAACCTGTCCAGCAATTATCTGCAGATATGCTTCGGCAATTCTAAACGATCCAGTACCTTAAAAACGAAGTTACTTTTGACCAAAACTAGTGAAGCTTACAATGTGCGTCAGAGTGGCATGTGTTTAGTGCCAGCAGATTCACCAAAAAAAAATGGTATTGTTTCAAGTAAAGAGAATGGGAAGATACCAAAACAATTAAAAATCACAAGTTTAATAGAAATAGGCCATGGCCAAAAAGAAAAACGACAAATAGACAAACAACAGTCGACAAAACACAACACATAAAACTAAAGATTGGGCAACATGAACCCCTCCAAAATCTTGTTGACCTTACTGGTGTTCTGGGAGGGTAACCAGTTCATGTTCCACTCTGAGTGGCAAACAACCATCGTGTTACTTCTAAGTACACATTCGGCGATATGTCCCATTCGATAATGTCTCAATCGAGAAATAAGAGGATGGAATTGTGGTTACGACAAGTGAACATATCCGTTGTCATCTGTGTTACCGACTGATATTCCATAACGGCACACCAAATCATGATGGCGTTCATAACACTTTTAAATGATAACTTCAACTTTTGCATTTGGAACCCTTGGTTTCAAGCACTGCCTTGTAAACAGGTACCCCCTTCCCCATAAAGGAAATCATACCAGGAAACACTAGTCTTGGAAAGTCTTATCTACCACAGGCACTTGAAAAAAAAATTAATATATACCTTAAGGTATGGGTTTTTTTTTCAGAGACAAGACGTAGTGCCTGTGGTATTAATTAGAAGTTATAAATATAGTATGCAGGCACAGCTGGAATGATGCTTCACAGAAAGGATTCTTTTCTTTTGTCGTAAATTTAGTTATTAACTAACCTTCGCACTCAGTTTCTTAAGCAGACTTGTCTATGGTACACTTTATTTCAAGTGCACTGGCATAGCAATATAATTAAAATATAGATATAGTGAAACTTGCGTCATATGAGTATAACAAAATTAGATATCTATATTTCAATTAGATTGATTGGAATAGATGCAGTCAACATACTTACCAAACTTTGAATCATTCAGTAAAAGGATCTCATCTTTATAAATCGAGGAACGAGAAGTTAAAGGTAAATAATGCCAGCTTCTTTTCCTTTTTCCGTATAGAGAAGCTAATTGTAAAGTCTTCATAGGGATAAGGCAACGCGTCGGCAAGACACAATTGGCTTCCATAAGAAGGTCGAGTGTCTGTTGAAAAACACGTCCTCAAACCAAGTATATTGTCAATAAAATAATAAAGCATCTTGATAATGTCAGGTTCATCAGATAACCTTTTGATTGAATCAGAGCGTGTTTTTATAATGTATGATTTTTCGCTCCCTAAAACAAGATATTCGTATCTGTATTGACCATTCCTTTTAAGGAAACAAATTAAATTCTTTCTATCTGTCTTTAAGTTTAGAATGATGGATACTTCATATAACGTGTATAAAGGGTAGAAAAGTTGTATGTTTTTATCTCAAACTGATGCAAGAGGAGAGATACTTGGTTGTAAGTACTGTAACAAATCATTTGATTTTTAACCAAATTTTGTAGTATAAATATCCCTAGAATATAGTTTAACAGTTACACCGAGGACCAGGTTTTTATTACTAATAAAGGAGATGTTGATAATTTGGGAAATGATTTCGTGGAGCATTAGGCAGTCCAAGAATTAAAACTTAGTTTGTACGGACACTTATGTAATTCTGGTATCCAACAGAGAGAAGGAAGAGCCAGTTCTTCATATTTGGTTGAAATGCCACACGAACACAAAACAGAACTATGATTGTTCATGATCCTCTTTAGTAAGTGCCGTGGATGTATATATATTTGGTTCCCAAGTGAATTGCCAACACCTGGGACAATAATCCCAGCCAACACCTATAATTCACTGATTTATCTAGTAGTTTATATATATGTTTAACAAACAATAACTATATATTGGGCTTTGTCTGCAGGGACAACAACATATTTGTCTTGGAGGTAGGACAAGTTCTTAGCAGTATTTGGGTCTTCGAAGTGTTCATATATATACACCAATTAAGTTTTTTCTTCTCCTGATTTGTATCAACGACCTCACAACCTTAATCCATTTAATATAAATAAGAAGATGGGGTATGAAGAAGAAGAAGAAGAAGAAGATGCTTGATTTCCATCAAATGGGCTCACAAGGAGCATAATATAATATCATGATAATATTATTTATACAAATATAATGAACAATTCAGTATAATACATAGTTACAAACACAAATAAGAAACAACAGTTTTCACATATTCGTATATATATAGGAGTATATATAAAAAACCTTCGTCTCAGGCACACCTCTAGAGAGAAAAAAAAAAAGAATTCTGTGAGTGCCAATGAGACAAATCTCCATCCAAGTCAAAATGTATAAAAAGTTAACAATTATAGGTCAAAGTACGGCCTTCAACACGGAGCCTTGGCTCACACCGAACAGCAAGCTATAAATGGCCCCGAAATGAATAGAGTAAAACCATCCAAACAGGAAAACCAACGGTCTAATCTATATAAAAAACGAGAAACGAGAAACACCTATGAACCACACCAACCAGTGGCGGATCCAGAAATTTTCATAAGTAGGGGCCCACTGACTGCCAAAGAGGGGGCCCATTCCAGTCATGCTTCAGTGATTCCCTATATAATCAACCAAATTTTTCCCACAAAAGGGGGGGCCCGGGCCCCTTGCCCCCCCTAAATCCGCCTCTGCCAACAAACGACAACCACTGAACAACAGGTTCCCCCCCCCGATTAGGGAGCTACCATTTGATTTTTATGGGGGGGGGGGCTTGAATGGAAAATTTTGTCCTGCCTTTTTTTTTAGTTGTAATATCTGTCCTGCCTTTTAATTTTCCACTCTATTTGGTCCTGACTTTTTTTACATAAATTGTCATCCTGCCTTTTTTTTTGCCAAGTTGCTCATCCTGTCTTTTTTTTTTTAACTCAAAACTCCTGTCCTGCCTTTTTTTTTTAGATTTCATCCTAGCCACTATTTCACTTCATCATGATTACTTTTTAATGTGTGGTATCCCTCTAATGTTAGTGCGGTAAAATCAGAGTAGAGGGACAGCACGTATACGTAGTTACAATTCTGGTAAGAGCAAATACACATTAAATGAGAAATCTAAAGCAGAAATTCAATTTTAAAAAATCTCAAACGCTAAAAGGGACAAATAATAAAAAAAAAAGATAAGAGAATAAAAACCAAAAAATAGAATGTTCATGCCAAAAGTTATTGTGGAAAGATAAACAAAATAATCACAAAATTACCAAAAAAAATAATCTAGTGATCCAATCGTAAACGAAAAAGTCAGGCACACCTTTAAAATTCAGTCACGTTTGAGTCTGTATTTGGCGAGGGGAAGAACAGGGTGTCATTCTACGGGTATTATGGGATAACTAAAATAATTAAAATGACGATATCGGCCTTTGAAAAAAATACGACGAAACTACTGTATTAGGCTTGTTTATAGTCGAGTCCCCATTTAGAGACATTTATTTCTCAATAATCCGCCTTTTCAGATTGAGTAGCCTTACATGCCCCTGGCATATGGCATCCACATTTATGTTTTATCTTAAATTGAAATCACTATTTACAAAATAAATAAACTTATGAACAATAAAGACTTACATTAACGTTCCACTTTGGCAATTTGAATGTTGTAACGTTAAAACCGATTTTTGTTTGAGATTATTTCTCAACAAAAGGGTCGAATGAGCTGCTGATAAAAAAGAAAAAGGGCAACACGAACTGTTCGTTTTGGAATGAAGCACGTTGGCAAATCTTGGGAATGAAACAGAGGGGTAAGCTCTCTTTGGAAAATATTTGAACGAAAGATCAGAAGGTTACAAAGAATCAAATACTTAAATATAAGGTAAATGGCTTATTTAAATGTTTTATCGACTTTCATCCCGTACCTGAGGGCTAAAGACACTTGTTAACAACTAATAAACTGATAAAACTATTAAACATTTAGTGAATTAATCAATAGGTATCTAGTCGTAAAATTCCCTCGTGGCAATCAACTGTAACGCTGCTAAGTGGATCAAAAGGTTGCATCAAAGCCGAATACACATAATGAGCCAAAACTCTGGGACGTGAAGGACATGGGAGTGTTTTAGAGTGATAAGTAGCCTGTAATTAACATGGAATATTACATTGTGAACTTGAAAAGGTATGACATTTTGAAATTATATTGAAATTCTACATTTTATTCTATGTTTTGATGTTTTCTTTGTCAGCTTCTATTTTTTTTTTTGCTTTTATTTTACAAATAAATGAAAAACACCAACTTTAACAATATTAAAAAAAATGTTCATTTTAAAGATTGACATTTATAACTGTTAGGTACTAAAATGCTCATAGAATCTAAAATGTCAGATGTAATTACTTATTACTGAAAGACTTCTGAAAATGGTAGGAATTTAAAAACAAAGCAGCTAATGTACAGGTTTGAACCAACATACTTTAAATTATTTACTTCATTTGACATGATTTATATAATAAATTGCATACATCATTATATTTAGTTGTATTTGTCTATGCACTATTATATACAATACAATGTTACATTGTAATACAGGATGTTGAATGATAACCTCAGATAGTAAAAAGCTTCCTAATAGACATCCACATTTTCATTAAATTTTTTTTTCTGACAAAATAACTCATTTTATCTTGATTGAAATACAAAAAACTTTTGAAAACCATTTTTATTGCCAAAATGCAATATCCCTTTTCTTCTAATAAAATGTGTATTCTTTATGAACCAGACTGACACTTATAACAATTCTTAAGTACCCTCTTAATATTTTTTTTTTTCTTGCCATATTGTTTTAAGAGACTATATGTCAGAATAATCCCTGTAGAATATTGGTTGGACTTTGGATCCAACAACATGGCACTGTCAAGTATATTTGTTTCAGCCTAACAGAAGTTCCACTGGAAACTTTGTTATAATCAATGTCTTAATATCTGTTCCTGTTTGGACAAATTTTCTAGATACCATTTATTCCGTTAGGAACATATACTGTAATATTTATTCCAGTGGAAATAATATTCCAGAATATTTTTCCGTTTGGAACTTATATTATGAAGGAACTTCTATTTCGTGACAGCCCCACCTGTATTTCTTTGTTAAATTAAAATGTTCCTGTACTACAAATACTTGGTCTTGTTTTCATTTACAATTTTATGTGTTTTCATTCTGCCAAATATATTTGAGATGGGGAGGATTGATTTTATGATAGTTTTATTAATTTTTGTTTGATATTGGATATAAGCCCATACATTTCAGGACTTCATGCATGCACTTATATCCCTTCTATGCTTACACATACATCCTGAAATTATTCTACAAATTGAATATTAACATCATTTTGTACTGGTTTGTAGTTTCTTTTGTGGCAATATAGAGGAAATGAGCGGTGATTGTGCTAATCTTTATTCCAGATCCAGTGTATATAGTTGCATGTTCACAAGAGAACTTGTGTCTTCAATCTCCCCAATCTCCAAATAGAAAACTAAGAACTCTTTTCATAATATAAAATTGAGAATGGAAATGGGGAATATGTCAAAGAGACAACAACCCGACTAAAGAACAGACAACAGCCAAAGGCCACCATTGGGTCATCAATGCAGCGAGAAATACCCTGTATATAATGCAAAAGAAATGCATTAATCAAAATAACTATAAAATGTCAACCATAACTTTGAAATAGGGAAAGAATGCTGGACTGTCTATCATAAATATTGTGTATTAGATATTCATTTGACACATAATGGTCAAATGTTTTTATTCCTGTCCAAAAAGTGGATTAATTACTTGTATGAAAATCTGAGGACTAGTACTTGACATTTTGTAACATTTAACACCTAACCATACCATTGACAGTTTTATCAAACTGAGTATTATTAAGTACCAGTATGTAAAAATCAAAGCCAAAGCATTTATTATAGCACATCTTATAATGGAGCTTTCTTTTAATACAAATAACTAGAGGGCAACATACAGTCTTCAACAACAGACAGACATACCGACAGACCAGACGTCCATACATTAATGATTTTATCCACTCTAAATCATGGCAAGTCTATAAAAGTTGAAAGAAAAATAGGCCCTTTTAACCACTTAATGATTTAATCACTTTAGGTAAGTAGGTAAAATAATTTTATTCAAAAAAAATATTTGTTAGACTATATAGGATTAAACAGGTTTTAAACAAAAATTCCATGAAATTTATTAGGGTAGGCATGCACATTTAGGGTGGGGTCAAAGTACGAAGGCAGTTAACAGAACTATTCTTTTTTTTAGCCTTAAGATTTGAATGTTTTAAAATATTTTACATTTGGACCCAAATTTCACAGATCACTAAACACATGGAAATATGATAGTTTTAACAGGGTATGGTGTCCTATGGACACATATTCTTGTTGTATAGATGATATAATTAGTTTTCTAATGGATTTAACTGTGAGAATAACTAAGGAAATAAAACTACATATAACCTCATTAAATAACAAAAAAAAAAAAAAAACAACATTATTTTGTATCATATTTTAAATTATACATGTAAATGTATGTATTTGAAATAGTAGAAAGAAAATTTTACTTGAAAATTAAAAGTATGAAATAACTGTTATCATTATCACAAGTGAAAATGATCAATGCTAATGAAGAGAGAACATGTATATAAAATATTGGATGTCAGTGATCCATGTAAACTGTAATTTAGACTGAAGTTATCAGTGACATCTTGTAATACTATACCTTATTTATATAAAACTTCCTCTTTTTCAGACTTTTGAATGATTGACAGCATTGGGAAGTATACTACAACTTACCAGTATTCTCCCCCAAGCTGTCAACATGATCAATACATTACCAGTGGCATATGGGGCAAAAATATAAACATGGAAACTTTAAAGGCATATTTGAACAGAATTAGATTTCCCAGCGTTTCATCATCAACATCTGTTGCAGCCAAAGGGACAAAAAAGGAGAAATTATGTAGGAAAGGAAGCTTACAACATCATGGGTCGTCAAAAGCGTTGAAAAAAAATAAATATCAAAATCATGATCCCCTATCATCTAGGGACTCTAATGGATTTACATCTATACATGGAATAAATAATATCGATTTTATTGACAATGAGTATGAAATTCCTCAATGCACAATGGTGTCAACATTGAAATTAGCTCTACAAAATTCTGTCGGAAAAAAATCTCCGCCTCCGATTAAACCGCCAAGGAGGGACAAAATTTTGGTTATTGATCTGGATGTGAAAAAAGGGGGAGAATTAGGTATCTCAATAGATGCAGTTGATTTATTTTCAGTGGAGAATTATTTTTATGGGGAAAGTCCAACTCGGAAAAGGATATACAGTGATAGAGGTATAGATTCTATGAATGGATATGCTGATATCGTAGAAGTTTTACGGATAGTCAATATTAAAGAAGGTGGCATTGTTCACAAAGATGGGAGAATTCATGTCTATGATGAAATATTAGAGTTGAATGGACAGTCTCTTCAGAAAGAAACAGTTGGGAATGCTAGGTATGTATAAATATACATGGTATTCCTTACAAGGAAATGGTCACACCTCCATATAGTTAGAAATATATTATATTTATCTCATGAAGGTTGAGTAGACAATAAAGATATTATCTGGGTACAGTATCTATCAGTTTAATCATTGGTTTGACAGGAAATTTATACTGAAGAGGACACAATCATTTACCTACAAATGTACAACAATTGGCTAATATCATTTTTTTATAAACCATATCATTTTCTTTTGTATGGTCAAGTCCCTTGTGATTTGCTGTTTGTTAAATCCTGAATCTAGAGTGTCTACCTTACATAACATACTATCCCAATGGTATCTCTCCCCCTCTCTCTCTCTCTTATACTTTGATACATTATCATACATGATTTCTCAATAACTTGATAGAAAGAGAAAATGGTATCAGAAATTTTCATATTAAAAATATATACATATATATTCAAAATTATCCCTAATTTAATTTATTGAAAGTAAAAATTGATAACAGCTGTTTTGAAGCACTTATGTTAGAAACAGGAAACACTCACTCAAAAACATTGTGTACTTTGGATACCCACACATGCTGAAACTATTAGACTGACTTGTTGGCTGATTGATAGAAACAAAGTGGTTTTCCAAAGTAGTTTGATTAGTACAAAACCCTAAAGATAGCATACCTTACTAATTAATCCCATCTTTATAAAAAAAAAATCATTTAATTTTCTAATCTCTAATTTTTGGAGAAAAATATACTAGGAAAGTGTAGACTTATAAATCAGATTAAATTATACTCTTGGATATTCTTGCTTAGTAATTTAAGGTATTCATTATAATCAAGCACACTTGTGTTGTAAAACTAATGATTTGTGAAGCTATTGATGATGATGAGAATTTCACAGATGTAGTTTACATTGAACCGATTGATTGATTTGTTAGATATTGTTGCAGGACTGAAAAAATATATAATCAACATGTCACACTGATTTGTTCCATTTTTGCAGAACTTGAAAATATATAATTATCTGTTTTCCAGTATTCCTGCTTAATATATGAGGGTATGGATGGGGGTCCCTCAGTGTTGTATTCTTTAATTTGTTCAGCCATTTTTCTCTAATCTTAATATGTTTTGCCCATTATTTTCTATTCTTTATTTTTTATACCCCGCTTTAAAAAAGTGGGGGTATACTGTTTTACCTCTGTCTGTCCGTCCATCCGTCAGTCCGTCAGTCCGTCCCTCCGTCCCATGAATATTTTTCGTCGCATCTTTCTCAGGAACTACATTACGAGGATTACTGAAATTTGGTTTCAGGGTTTATATTAGTCAGCTATAATGTGTGATGCGTTTTCAGATTCATCACTTAACAACTTCCTGTTTACCGTATACTTTTAGCAGGGCAGGGGTATCATTAGTAGTTAGCTCACAGATTCACTTGTTTGGCCTATTTTTCTCTATTCTTTAAATTTTTTGCCCTTTATTCTTCACTTTTTGCCCATTAATTCTCTATAACAGACCCTCAAATATGGTTCTTTTTATATTGTAAGGTTTTACCTTTGAAAATGTAGTAACTTTCTTCTCTGTTCTGTCTTTTTATTAGAAAAAAAAATGATCAGTGATTAGTTCATTGCAAGATTTATTTCTCATATGGAACTTATAGTTAAAAGCTAGATTTGAAAAGGTCTGACATATTCTAGTTTAAAATAGTTTCGTCTGCAGTTCATGTATAGATTCACAAGATTTCATTTAGGATATATGGCTGTTAAAAACAAGTTTAATTTAAATGTTTGAAGGGTGTATTGTAATGAATGACAACATTGCTTGGTAGTTTTCCAGATATATAACATGGAGTTAAAACATTGTAAACATATTTTCTGTTACACCTGCCTGCAGCAAATGAGATAAAAACTTCACTCAATGCATACAGACAGTATTCAAATTAGACTAGTTACATTAAATATCTTTATGCAGGTAACATCACTTTCACAAAAAGAAAATGTTGAATATATATTTTGTTATCACACACGATTTAAACTGATATTGATTTTCCAAATTAAGGTACACAGAACCTTGAAATACAATAATTTCCAGTATCATCTCATTAGAGTTCATTTACTATAGGTTATTAAAATTATGGTCCAATTATGTTTAATAATTTCGTGTAATTTACCCACACTTATACTTTATGCTCAATGTACAATGTACTGTAAATTTGGAAATTATTTTGATGTTTTTATTATTGGGAAAAATGCAACAGGGTTGTAATCGCAATAATTTAAACTCGCATTTTGGATTTTTTTATATGAATGAAGTGGAATTTTTCCTTAGTATCACAAAAATAATAATCGCATTTTGGTCTAAAATGACAAAATCGCAATAATAAATGCTCGCAATAATTTCTGAATTTACAGTACATGTATGACAATAGGTTATTTTAAGAGTCAGGCTAACATTACATAGTTTCTTTAATTCTTAGCTGGTTAATGCTTCCAAGAAGCAATTGAGTATTTTGGCCTCTTTTGCCAATCCAAGTCTCTACTGGACCAGAATAATCATCATCAAATGACTTTTGCAGGGGATTTTAGATGAGGATTTTCCATTTTTGATAAGCACACGAATCAAGCTTTTCTTCCCTTGGCATCCAGATAGATTTTTGATACGGACTCATCTTTAAAATCAATTATTAGTACTTAAGCAGTAGGAAACTGTTTATTTATTCCATCTTCAAACTAATTTTCCCAGTTTATATCTTTTAATTCATCCTGATATCTAAAAGCAATTTGCCAAAATATTTTTTGAGTATGAAGAAGAAAAAAACAGAGTTTACAATTAAAAGATATAATACTTCCTGAATGATCAATTCATGTAGGTAGATTTTACAAAAAATTTCATAGGAAGTACTTTGAACAAACTGCGTAAATTCCAAATTAGGATAAGATGATATGTGTTGTTAAATTGTGATAAGATGAGAAGTGTTGTTTAAAGTGACTTTTTTTCATATCATATGAAAATGTCTACATTAACATCAGAAACATTGAATTTGCCAGAAATCGGATTATTTCTCTCAGATGAGGACTCTGAAGAATACAGGTAATCAGAGTTAATGTACACAATGTAGGCAATTTTTTTTAGTTGTTAGGTTGCTGTCTCAAAGATGTGTACAGTAAATCCCCCTTCATGCATACTTCCTATTTGAAGGATCAGAATTTGTGAGAAATAAGGGGAATAGATACAGGGTGATGTACTTTGTACAAGAGACAAAATTTCACCTTTGATGGACGAAAATTTTTTTTATGGCATATATTGTTCAAATTTTTTTTATGCTCCCGCCGTAGCGGAGGGGACATTAAGTTTTACCCTTGTCCGTCTGTACGTACGTCCGTCCGTACGTCCCAAAGTTGGTTTCCGTTCTCTAACTTTAGTTTGCCTCAACCAAATGACATGAAACTTATACAAAATGCTTATTACCACAAAACACAGATCAAGTTTTAATTTTGGTGGCGTCTCTTTAACCATTCTAGAGTTATGCCCCTTTACAAATGAAAAAATTGCTGAATTTTTCGTTTTCGTTCTCTAACTTTAATTTCCCTCAACCAAATGTTATGAAACTTGTACACAATGCTTATTACTACATAACACAGATCAAGTTTGAATTTTGGTGGCGTCACTTTAACCGTTCTGGAGTTATGCCCCTTTACAAATGAAAAAATTGCTGAATTTTTCGTTTTCGTTCTCTAACTTTGATTTCCCTCAACCAAATGTTATGAAACTTGTACACAATGCTTATTACTACATAACACAGATCAAGTTTGAATTTTGGTGGCGTCACTTTAACCGTTCTGGAGTTATGCCCCTTTACAAATGGAAAAATTGCTGAATTTTTCGTTTCCATTCTCTAATTTAAGTTTGCCTCAACCAAATGTTATGAAACTTATACACAATGCTTATTACCACAAAATACAGAACAAATTTGAATTTTGGTGGTGTCACTTTTACTGTTCTAGAGTTATGCCCCTTTACAAATGGAAAAATTGCTGAATTTTTCGTTTTTGTTCTCTAATTTAAGTTTGCCTCAACCAAATGTTATGAAACTTATACACAATACTTATTACCACAAAACTCAGATCAAGGACAAATTTGGGTAGCATCACTTTTACTGTTGTTCAGTTATGTCCCTTTATAACTTTATATGATATGCAAGCGGGGGTATCATCTGTGTCCCATGGACACATTCCACATTTATTTTTTTGTATTTATTACGTTTCTTCAATACCCCCTCCAAAAATCCTGGATCGCCCTTGCAAGTATGGATACTACTGAGATATTCAGAGAAATAAACATATTTTATTGCTGTTCTGTAGTTGAGGGATTTATTTCTAGAAAAATGTATAAAAATATTGGATTTGATAAACATACAATGACACTATTCTGTAATTTAGTAAAATGCCAGAGGTTGGTTTATTGCTACCAGATTTCTTATATTAAGAAATGTCAATAAAGTATAAAATGTGAGTAATTTTGAGCATGTGTTTTTATCCATGCATATAATTCTGTGATGAATGAGGACTACTGGATACCACTTTACCCACTTCAGATACTCTAGATGCAGGTTCTAGTCGTGTAATATACTCTAGATGCAGGTTCTAGTTGTGTAATGTATCTGGAAATATGTTTTCCTGATATTTTTCCCAGGGATGCCAGCAGGTCATCCATTACCAAACAGGAAATGTTTGAAGCCACATGGATTTCGTATCAGATTATTAGTTATTCCAACTAATAAAATAAAGATGAAAAATTTAACATCAGATTTTAGAGCTATAATGTAGTAGCTATGGTTTTTTACCCCCCCCCCCCCCCCCCCCCACACTTCCCTTAATTTATAGAGAAATAATTGTCTCTAAATTTATGTCTAATGTATTTGTATGTAATGTGATAAAAGCTCTTTATAGGGCCCTTTTATTGGAAATAAAATGTTCTTATACTATATGTAATAAAATATAAGAAGCATTCAATTCT